ACCGCAGGCGCCGAGCTGCCCATTTTTTATAATATAATTTTTATTAAATACAATATATTTTATAAATTTACATACAAATACACTATTTTCGGAAAATATACAATATATTTTCCACAATTATTGCATTATTCATATTCTTTAATCTTTTCAAGACATTTATTAGTCGGTATTTGAGAATATTAGTTATTGAAGACATATCAAGATAAGTGTAGGAGCTTCACTCTTTATTTATGTCAAATATTTACCTCAAAATAACTCTCCCCTCAAGGAAGGTTCCTTGATGCTGGCGAGAGGCTCTTGATCTAGGGAACTGGATCTGTGCTCCAGTTCCCTGAATTAAATCTGAATACTTCCCACATCCCTCCACAAGGGCTGTATAATCCTACGGGTTTAACGCTTCCCCTTGATTATAATAATAATGCAAATACCTTTACAAGTAAAGATGTTTAATTTTATCTATTTTGTTTGTGATCTCGAATTCTTATCACAACTTTATGTTACAAAACCAGAAACAGACCAGCTGTTAGAGGAAAATCACTCTAGTGACTTTGTGGAAGTAGTTCACGACTGCTTTCTGAAACAGTGTACAACAGCCTATCATTAATATAATAAAATATATAATATAATATAATATAATAATATAATATAATATCTTTATTTACTACAAGTACATGTACAAGGTATACAGTCCTAGCTGACAACAATGACATACTACTATATAGAAAGTCCCTTGTTATGCTCCGCATTTCGGAACATTTCGGGCAAATTAGGTCAGTGTCCCAGGATGCGACCCACACCAGTCGACTAACACCCAGGTACCCATTTTACTGATGGGGAACATAGACAACAGGTGGAAAGAAACACGTCCAATGTTTCTACTCTGGCTGGGAATCGAACCCAGACCCTCGCCGCGTGATGCGAGAGCGTTGGCCACCAGGCCACCAGAGCCGTCTTTGTCAAATAAAGAAAACCTCGTAAATATTATAGGGATGACTGAAGAGTTTGGTGCAAGTGATCACACATTACTTGTAATATTACCTGGAAGTATGAGAATAAGAATAAAACAGTAAAAGTCCCAGATTTTCGTTTCCCGATTATAATGGACTTAGGGGAACATCTGTCTAATCTCGACTGAGGAAATCTATCTAAATACTACTTACGATGATCGTACTTATGATTACTGCTTATAATGACTCCCAGGCCTTTATCACATTGTGTATGACCAAGCTGTACATCAACTAGTTTATAACTACGAGGGTTATTTGAGTTTATGGCTATATTCCCACGTAAATATATATAGTTATATTATTGTGGAAAATTACATTTACCTGGATGAATCTCATTACATACATACAAGTAAATGGTAACAAAGATTATTATTTATCAAAGTTACAGAGACAATAATGGTTATTTTCATTCCCATTAAGGCCTGAGCTTGCTACCACCTGCAGCTCACAAGACTGCCATCCCCACGAGCCCCTTTGGGGCGGGATAGATGGCAGACCAGAGGCCTAGCTTCTCCCTACGAGCCCCGTGAGGGCGGGGAATGTGGCTAGGTCTGGGGACAGTTGGTCCCAAAGATGAGGAGGTACTTGTACCTCCTCCCATGGGAGACTTAGGTCTCGAGACACTCCCCAGATAGGGAGCCAAGGCCGGGTCACCACTACTTGGAAAAGACCCGGGCCGGGAGAATACCGGCGAATAAAAAAAAAAAAATTCATTCCCAAGGACTAGGACTTTACACTAGTCCACATTGAACTTCATCTGCCACTTTTTAAATCATGGCATTAATTTGTCCAAATCCTCCTGATATATTTGCCCTAAATTTTCTACCAAGCCTCATCGCGACTTCATTTAGAATCTCTCCATTCCCGCGCTGTATAGCCCTTGTGGCTTAGCGCTTCTTTTTGATTATAATAATAATAATAATCTCCATTCCCGATTAAACCATGGGCTCTATTTCTATAATTTAAATTCTTCGTGTGAATAAATGGTTTTCAAAACTGAAACGTTGATAAGTGAGACGAAACGTTTCCAGAATAAAATACCCAAATATTATAAAAAGTGTCTGATTTATAATTTCTTCATGTACCGTTTTGTACAGTTTTACCCAGTTTTACTTCTTTCAGAAAATTTGACGCTGGTGAGGGGCTCTTGATCTAGGGAATTGGATCTGTGCTCCGGTTCCCTGAATTGATCCTGAATACCTTCGATCCCCCCCCCACCACATGCGCTGTATAATCCTACGGATTTAGCGCTCCCCATAATCATAATAATAATCAGAAAATTTATTGCCTGTATATAGCCTTACTATTCTCCTCCTTTCTGTAGTCCCAGTTCCAATTTCTCACTTCCCCAGTTTCTTTCTCTACCCTCATTATCAGCAAGTTGTGCACTTTCTTCAATTTCTTGACCTGGTGTGGGGTCGATTGTACACACTCTGTACAATGTTGTGAATGACTCCTTATTTAGATGTCGAAAAGCCATTCATAGATTTGCCAAATATGCATTTGCTGCCGCAGTTATCTGGTTGATGTGCGCCTCAGATGATATGCTCGGTATGATACTTACCCCAAGGTTCTCTCCTTGAGTGAGAGTATAATAATGGTATATAATAATGAGGAGTTGATAAGGAAAAGCATGTGCAACAGTTAGGTACCTTTATTCAGAAACGTTTCGCCTCTTTCGCTTCTTAATTCGCATGCAGAGGTAACGTAAGCATTAGAGATGTAACGACGATGTAATCAATTCATCACCCTCGGAGGCGTAGTTTTGAGGTGGTCAGTCCCTTATCTTCACATTGTTACACATTGTTCAAGACTGTAGAGTAGGACTCTTCTCCAGGTTGAGGTACTGACCACCTCACAACTACGTCTTTGAGGGTGATGGACTGATTACACCGTCTTTACATCGCTGCTGCCTCTGCAATCGACTGAAGAAGCCTTCTGTGTAGGCGAAAAGTTTCAGAATAGTCACCAAACTGTTGTACATGTGTCTTACTTATCTCCTCGAATGAGGTTTGCATCCTTTGCCCCCCCGGAGCCTGTACTCCGTCTGGTGTCTTCTTTGTCCTTCCCCAAACTTCATAACTTTGCACTTGGTGGGGTTAAACTTCAGGAGCCATTTTGGGACCAGTCTTGCAACCTGTCCAGATCACCTTGTAGTGTTTCCTGATCCTCGTCCTTTTGTATTGTTATTTTCACGTTGTCTGTGTTTGCATTTGTGTATCTGTGTATGTGTGTACTCACCTAATTGTGGTTGCAGGGATCGATTCATGGCTCCTGATCCCGTCTCTTCACTGGTAGCTACTAGATTAACTCTCTCCCTGCTCCATGAGCCTTTTCGTACCTCTTCTTAAAGCTATGTATAGATCCTGCCTCCACTGCACTCTCCAGACTACACCACTTCCTGACAACTCTATTACTGAAGAAATACTTCTTAACATCCCTGTGATTCATCTGAGTCTTCAACTTCCAACTGTGTCCCCTTGTTGCTGTGTCCCATTCTGAAACATCCTGTCTCTGTCCACCTTGTCTATACCTCTCAATATTTTATATATCTTCCCTATCTCTCCTATCCTTCGGTGACGTCAGGTCGATTTCCCTTAACCTCTCCTCGTACGATATGCCCCATAGCTCCGGAACTATTCTCATTGCAAACCTATGCACGTTCTATAATTTCTTGGCGTGTTTGACCAGGTGTGGGTTCCATACTGGTGTTGCAAACCAAAATATAGGCCTAATGTGCGCAGGTTTGTGTGTGTGTGTGTGTGCATGTGCATTCGTGCGTATGTGCTCACCTAGATGTGGTTGCTAGCGTCAAGTCACAGCTTCTGACCCTGTGCGCGTGTTTTTTTTTTTTTTGTATGTGTGTGCTCGTGCGCGTTTGTATACACAGTACGTGTACTTTCCTGGTCATTGAACTACATTTTACCTGGTCGTTTTTACCTCATGATTCTATTTTACCTCATACAAAAACGAGCCATAATGTTCCTCTTCTTTTACCTCGCTCATGGATGTTGTCTACCTGGAGTCTACCAGGAGTCTACTAGGAGTGTACCTGGAGGGTGTTTCGGGGGTCATCGCCCCTGCGGCGCCAAATCAATCACTGAGAGATGCAATATATAAACTAAAGGAAATGAACAGAGGAGGAAATATGACACTGATGAATAACAATCAATGAAAATCTGAGAAAATGAAGACAGTGCTGGGAAAGTTTAATTTTTTTTTAAACCTTCAGGAACTTTAGACACACCAGAAACTTTAGACACACCAGAAACTTTAACATTAGGAAATCCAAGGCAGCAGTGGAGGTAATATATAGTCTATCTTCCATCAGGAGAACTGGACAAGTATATGAAGATGGACAAAGGGCCACACCACAGGGAGAAAATAGCAGCAAAATACAACGTTTTTAAATCTTGAACAATATCAGTCGTACACAGAATAGGAAAGGATAGGAGTCGTACACCGAAGGACTGAGCGAATAACGATTTCTGAGGGTCACCAGATGTATGAAGAAGAAAGTTGTGTACGGTAGCCAGGACACATGTCATGAACCATCATGTTACAGAGAGTACAAGGTAATATAGTGCCAGAGAGTACAAGGTAATATAGTGCCAGAGAGTACAAGGTAATATAGTGCCAGAGAGTAAAAGGTAATATAGTGCCAGAGAGTACAAGGTAATATAGTGCCAGAGAGTAAAAGGTAATATAGTGCCAGAGAGTAAAAGGTAATATAGTGCCAGAGAGTACAAGGTAATATAGTGCCAGAGAGTACAAAGTAATATAGTGCCATGTATGATAAGGTATATGAATAAAACAGAAATAAAAGAAACAATATATTATGATTCTTTAGAAGTAAATTATTACTCATGGCTGAATTTTGAATATCTAGAAGATGTGATAAATAGAAAGAATTGAAGATCAACTGGAAGCTCTAAGTACATTATTGGTGTTTTAAAGAATAAATGTGAGAAATTAATTAAAGATAATACTCACCGCCTTTCATTATAAACTTCTGCGGCAGCTTGAAGCAACTGGCAGAAGCTCCTGTGAAAAAACAGCAATTTAGTGAAGAAAGCCTTAGTAACACTGACTAGTTGATCCTGTCTCCATGACCCTAGCTGGAAGACCCTAGCTGGAAGACTAGCTGGAAGGCACTAGCTGGATGACCCTAGCAGGATGACCCCAGCTGGAAGACTATCTGGAAGTCCCTAACTGGATGACCCTTGCTGGAAGACCCTAGCTGGAAGACTAGCTGGAAGTCCCTAACTGGATGACCCTTGCTGGAAGACCCTAGCTGGAAGACTAGCTGGAAGTCCCTAACTGGATGACCCTTGCTGGATGACCCCAGCTGGAAGGCACTAGCTGGATGACCCTAGCTGGATGACCCCAGCTGGATTATCGTAACTGGAAGTTTCTAGCTGGAAGAGCATGGCTGGTTGACTGTAACTGGAATACTCTAGCTGAATAACACTACTTCGATGACACAGGCTGGATAACCGTAAGTGGATGACACAAGCTGGATAACCCTAGGTGGATAACACAATATGGATAACCCTAACTGGATGACACAAGATGGATAACCCTAACTGGATGACACAAGATGGATAACCCTAGGTGGATGACACAAGCTGGATAACTGTAAGTGGATGACACAAGCTGGATAACCCTAGGTGGATGACACAAGCTGGATAACCCTAAGTGGATGACACAAGATGGATAACCCTAGGTGGATGACACAAGCTGGATAACTGTAAGTGGATGACACAAGCTGGATAGCCCTAGGTGGATGACACAAGCTGGATAACCCTAACTGGATGACACAAGATGGATAACCCTAGGTGGATAACACAAGCTGTATAACCCTAAGTGGATAACACAAGATAGATAATTCTAAGTGGATAACACAAGCTGGACAACCCGAGGTGGATGACACAAGCTGGATAACCCTAAGTGGATGACACAAGATGGATAATACAAGATAGATAATCCTAAGTGGATAACGCAAGCTGGGTAACCCTAGGTGGATGGCACAAGATGGATAACCCTAGGTGGATGACACAAGATGGATAACCCTAACTGGATGACACAAGATGGATAACCCTAGGTGGATGACACAAGCTGGATAACCCTAACTGGATGACACAAGCTGGATAACCCTAAGTGGATAACACAAGATAGGTAATCCTAAATGAATAACACAAGCTGGATAACCCTAGGCGGATGACACAAGATGGATAACCCTAACTGGATGACACAAGATGGATAACCCTAGGTGGATGACACAAGCTGGATAACCCTAACTGGATGACACAAGCTGGATAACCCTAAGTGGATAACACAAGATAGGTAATCCTGAATGAATAACACAAGCTGGATAACCCTAGGTGGATGACACAAGCTGGCTAACCCTAAGTGGATGACACAAGATGGATAACCCTAGGTGGATGACATAAGCTGGATGACTTTTCCACTCAGCTTCGGTCAGACGCCCACACTCGCTGGTTGTAGTCGTTCTCATCTCATTCGTGCACGACCTTGCCTGCTGTTTTTATCTCTCCTCCTCTCTCTTTCTCTCTCTCTCTCTCTCTTTCTCTCTCTCTTTCTCTCTTTTTTTCTCTCTCCAGAACTCCTCTCTGACTCTTTTCGTTCCGGCGTTCTCCCTCAATTTTTGTAATAAACATTTTTGACCTAGTTAAGCCAGTACTACTGCCATGTTCGTCCATCTATACGAATTCAACTCTTGGTACCAGCGGTCTTAAGTGAATATTTCCCTGCAAGTTTAGCTAGGGGGGAAAGGAGAGATAGACACGAGCGGAGCCCAGGAGACAGCACTATTATTTAACTTCTGTACACGACATCGTCAAACAGCCAGCACAGGAAGATACTTCAGCAGCAAGCTAAGTGGTCTCTTTCGTTCAATAATTTCAGCCCAGTAATTCTGAATGTTCTTCGTAAGCAGAACGTCGTCGCCTGTACAAAGTCGAGGTATATCACTTTGTCAGCATTGACAAATACTTCTCAGTTTAGGATCAAGAGTGAATTCAACAATGAGAGCAAATCTGGTCACCTGTTATCAAGTTCTTGGTCAAATAGAATGACAACCTGCATATAGAACCACCAGTACTTGTGAATGGCTTTTTAATTAATCAGGTGCTGCTGTGCCGACATGCCTGACAAGTGAATCCTTGTTGTAACATTCATCAGTCATCCCTAGTGCCTCAGTACCTGCAGCCATGATAATGATCAATGATTTTTCTGGTGTACCACATCCAGGAAAAGATCACAGAATCAAACAAGCTTTAATGAAATATTTCAGACCTAAGATGGCAAAGATTTTCGAATATGCACAAAAAATGCATTGTCTGCCTCCAGCATAGAAGTGTTGTAAACAGTCCTCCACTCACAAAAGAGTCTTAGGAGAGAACTTCCAGTGACTCTACAAAATATTCGTCCTCTGAGAACAGTAATAAGCGCCTGCTCGTGATGGTTAATATCATGACTCCACATTGCTAACTTGTTCCAATTCTCGACAAACCACCAAGATCGTAAACAATGTATTTAGTTAGAGGATTATTGCTTTTTACACTTGTTCTAGAGTCCTCATGTCTGAAAACAACTCTGAATTTATTAAGATGCAATAAAGAATCATTGTTGTAAGTTAGTGTTTGTGCTTGTGCATTAGTGAATATACGAATTTCAAAACTATCGATGCACTCTGAGCAATAATATATCCTAGGGATGAATCCATTCCAGACATGTAGAATATCCAAACGCTTCACTTAACAACGCAATAGGGGAGTCACCGCACTATATATTGTGCAGTTGTAAACCCTGTTTGCTCTGCCTAAATCTAACTATGATTTCAACAATCTCAGCGTATTAAAAGTGGATATTACCTAATTCATCTCACTGTAGTAACCCAGTAGATTGAGTACTGGAACCATTACTTATAATTCGTGTCATTCGTCTCTCAACCTTTGAGTGGTGAGGACGTGCGCTGCTACTGCCCCTAGCGTTGATTGGTGGCAGTTATATTTTCACAGCATGGCGCTGGCCAGCCGGAGACGCATCAATGCAGTCTGTGTTGAGCTTATCCGTGGGGCTGTGACAGGAACTTCTATGGAGCTGCTACTACCTGCAATCATACGAGATACATATGGTATTGCTAACGAGGAGATATGTGGAGTAGCGCTGAATGGCACGACGAGGATCTTTGTCAAGTTTAACTTGGTAAGTGTGTATGAGGCGGTGGAGGTCACTTTGACGGTTAACTACGCTGCGACGTGCGACTTCACTACGTATCTCGCCATTACACATGGGTTAAGATAAGAAATGTGCCTTTCGAGGCGGATGATTCTGACATCCGTCTTGCGATTGGTAAATATGGTACAGTACATATGGCCACTGTTGGGAGGTGGGCTACTGGGCCATACGCAGGGATACCCGAAGGAACGTATTCTGTGAAGATGACGTTACATTACCCTATTCCGTCGTACGTAGTGCTGCCAGAATTTCGGACCCAGGTGTTTGTGACATATGCTGGGCAACGCCGGCTGTGTGGGTCATATGATCACCTAGCTGCTCTGTGTGGAAGGAGACGTGGCAACATGGAACAACGGCAACGACATGAAGCAGAAGAGAAGGGTGAGGAGCAAGATTTGCCTTATGTGACTCTGCCTACACAAGATGGGTCCTGGAGTGAGGAGGTCGAGAGAGCGGAGGAGATGGAGTCAGCAGGTGTGACGAGGTGGGGAAGAAACCCCTTCATTGAACGTAGCTCAGGTGTTGGAAGAAAACACCCTGGATGCTAGTGATAGCGACGTGGAAGACTCGTTAGCCAAGGCTTTAAATGTGTTATTGGATGACAAGAGTATTGGGCAGGTTGGGAGTCCAGACCTAGTTCTTGGGCCTGCTGTGGATCAGGGTGTGGAACAGGATAAGCGGTCGGAGCAGTGTGGTATGAATGTCTTGATGATGCAAGCAGTGGAGGTGGAGGTCCACCAGGACACTGTAACAGACGACATGATGCAAGCAGAGAGAGCGTCACAGAAGCGCGCTGCTGCACTATCTGACTCCGAGGAAGTGCTCACGTATGCTCAGCGCACTGGGAAAAAGTTCTGGGCGGAAGTTACGCAGAGAGGACCCAGCGGCCCTAAGGGGCAGGAGTTGGTTAAGAGCTTTCCTAAAGGGGGGGGGGGAAGAGGGATCGAGGTGTCACGAAACGATCTGGTGGCAAGACAGTACCAGGGTCAAGAAGAAAAACCACTCTGTAGGCTTCAAGTGCATGACATGGATTGCGATTTTAATGGATTGCGATCAGAGAGAAAGTGTGTATGGTTTAGTGAATATTTGGTGCGTAATAGTGTTGATGTGGTGTTCATGCAGGAACACAACTACAGACCAGGCTATGAGTTGAAGGTGAATGGGTATAATGTGTATGTGGAGCATGCGATGAGGTTGAAAGGAGGAGTTACCATCCTGGTAAGGGAAACTAGCCCGTTCGTAGTGAGGAATTATGAGGGTGGGGAGGGGAGGGTGATTCGTGTGGATGGGTGGTGGGGTGGGGTAAGTGGTTTGGGTTTTGTGTATGGTCTGGCGAGGGAGATGTGCGTATTAAGAATAAAAACTGTGAAGGATTCCCAGTATATTTTTGCGTGCTTTGAGGGTGAGCTGTAATTTTTGGTGTTGGAATTGTGTATAAGGCGTAAGGGGTTTAAATAGAGGGGCAGGGTATTGTTCGGGGGTTTTGGGGGAATTATTAAAGGGGTTTGGGGGTTAAAGGATGTTGGGGGGGGGGTTTTTTGAACTACTTTTGTTAGAATGGAATGCGGCTAGAGGGTCGCTTTTATGTCTCCGAAAAGTAAAAGTGACCCGAGTGGTTTTGGGGGACGATGCGGTTTTTTCGGGGTCAAGAGGGGTACGGTGGACCCCGAATGGGAGGGGTTGCCCAGAAGGAGTCAAGGTTATTGGAAGTTAAATGTGAAGCTGTTGCAGGGTGAGGAATGTCGTCAGTCTTTTTGTGCAATTGTGGGAACGGTTGGTGG